ACACACATAAGCAAGCACACAAAGAATGTGCCTTGCTGTGTCCCATTGCAAGAGTGTGTTCTTTTGGGGACCAGGACTGTAACCTTGCAGAGCCCAGAGTTGTGGGGACAGGAAATACCAATTAAACCAGTAAGTCATTGGGAGTGAAGTTAAGTAGGGTCACTCCTGCTTCCATCCATTGATTCATAGGCCCATGTATTTTTCCTGTTTGGGACATAACACAATATAGGAGCCTCTGATTTAATGCATACACTGCATCCTAAAGAATGGCATCCCATCCTTGCAGAGAGTTGCCTCTGAGGTGGCATTTCAATTGCACTTTCAGAAGGTAGTTCCAGAATTCCGAGGCTGGCTGCTTTTAGATGGTGTGGATGTGATATGATGAGTGTATCCCATGGGTCCACTTCATCATTTCTTTCAGTATGAAGTGGGTCACCTGTTGGATGTTATGTTATTTGGGATTCTGAGACTGTGGATCAGGGATACATGGTAAACCCCTGGAAAGTGGTGCTGGCCGAGGCTCTGTGGGCAGGAAAAGCAAGTTTATTTTGAGATTGGTATCCATCTCTGTGAAGATGAAGTGCTAACCCATCCAGGATGGCAGGGGCCTAATGTAGGTGACTTGTCATCGAATGGCCTATTGGTCTCCTTGAGGAACAGTGACATCTCAGGGAGTCAATATTGATCTTTGTTACTGACAAGTTGGGCATTCAAAGGCAGCAGTATGTAGATCAGCCTTGTTAAGTGGAAGCCAACACTGTTGGGTCCATACATACATAGCCGCTCCGTGTGGCCATTCCCTTCATGTGTCTATTATGCCAGCTCTGAGATAGCTGATGACGAAGACTGGCTAATATCAACCGGCTGAGTCATTCTGTCTACTAGGTTGTTCAAGACCCCTTTGGTAAGGATGGTTTTTAGTGGGTATTAAAGTTTGATACAATAATATTGACACTTAACGCTCAATCCTATATGTCTATCTACATGCCTGTACCCAGTATTCCTCACCAGTCTTCCAGTTCGTTGTACTCCCAGGCTTCTGGCTAGCCCAGGAATCCCTACATATCCTCACCTCAGCTCACAATGCACTGCTTGCTGCTCTTCCCATTGGGAAGATTTCCCTTCACCATCTTTCAAGGTCACCTTCTGAACATGACTGTAATACACTTGCCATTCGTTTTTGGCTTGCTCTCCATATTGAGCCATTGGTCTCTATTATTTACACATGTTTGCAAGCAGAAGCACTGACTGACTTTGTTCCAGCCCATATTTTCCAGAAGGTTTATATACTGAATGGCATTGGAAGATAGATGGTGTCTCCCTCCAGAGCACAAAGCAGCCATGTTTGCTGTCCATTATAGAAGATTTGGGTTCCCTAAGCTCTGGGCTTCTCTCCTGTAATGCAACCCACCTGCATGTGCAGTTGTCACCTAGCATTCTTCACATTGTCTTATAGCAATTAGAGCTCTGGGAACTGATACAAGAAAATGCTGCTACTGTGGCTACTACTATTGTGCTGAGTAAGAAAGTCCTTTGTCTTTGACCTTCTGTCTTCTGCCAGTATCCATACCATGGTGGCAGGATAACTCATCAGCTTGCAAGCAGGGTAAAATCTCAGACCCTTCTCAGTTCATAAGCTAAGCCTGGGCTTTCACCTTTCTCCTGCTTCAGCTGGTCATATGAGACCTGCTATGGCAAGAGGCGAGACCTGGGGATAGGCAGGGGTGTAACTGTGGTGGGTGACAAGGAAGTCCAGGCTCCCTGTTCAGGCAACTTCTTCATGCCTTTGGTTCCACTCATTTCTGTGTTACAGCGGACCACTGCTGAGCCTGTCTGACTTCATGACTTGGTAGTTCCAACAGATCCCAGATCACAATGGACAGCCTGCCCCAGTGGTCCAGCATTCCATCAGAAACATGCCCAGAAACATGCTAGGAGCCTTCTGAAAAGACATGTAATTTTGCTGTAGGTGGCATAGGCTTGCTCCAGCACCCCAGACGCCTGCATCTTTGTTTCCTCACAGGGACTTGCCATATGCTCCACACTAACTTTTTCTCCTCTTGACAATTGCAACACCATGGGGCCTGCTGGATCACATGGCCCAAATGGCAAGACAGCTGGCCCCATGTCCTGGATCTGCTGCAGGGCCCACTGAAAGCTGGAAGTCTTCTGTGTCACCTGGTATAGGTGCTGGAACAGGATTCTTAGGTGTGGAATGTGCTGTTTCCAGAAGAGGCCAAAGAGGCCTGTCAGGTGCTATGCTTCCTTTTTTGTGGTAGGGATGAAAGACATTTGCCTTTTACTTTACAGAGGATATCCTAGACTCCTAAAGATTTTACTGCAGTGGCAAGGCTCTGATACTGCATGTATCTCACCTTCTGGAGTGCATGTGTCTCCCCAAGGCCTCCAGTGTATAGCAACCTCTGGCTCATCTTGCCCAATCAGCATGATGTCATCATGGTAATGGATCAATATGATGTTCTGCAGGATGTCCAGATCTCCTGGGACTGTATCATGATAGAGGGTGAGTGAGTTTGAAATGGCCCCTAGAACAAAACTGAATTATAATGAATATTTATGTTTAGTTACCAAACCAATGATCATGTATCTGAGGCTTATTAATCTGTTCTGGCAATGAAATCACATCAGACACAGCAGCTTTGATCAAACAGTCTTTCTTCAGGATCCACCTGGTTTCTGCAGGGACAAAACTGGCAAATTAAACAGACATAAATTGGGGACCACCACTCCTGTATCTTTCAGGTCTTTAATGGGCACAAATCTCCACCCCCAGAATATGACATTGTTTTTCATTTACTACCTTAGCTGGGCATCTGGTATGGGTGGGAGCAATTCCAGAGTCTCCCATTTGGCTTCCTCACTGTGATAGCTCATGCCCAGCAGGCCAAGGATCCAGTGTGGGGATTACACCAACAGCCAAGTGTATCAATTCCAATTATACACTCAGATTGGAGACAAACCTACTGGGTGGATTCACAGACCACCTAGAGGACACACGGTAAGCCAGACGTTAACCAGGATGTTGTTTCCTGACCCTGAGAGCCCCAACTCTAATGGGGATGGGGTTATGAGAATACTTCAGATCTCCAGGTATCAATGCTAGCTCAGACCCTGTGTTTGATAGTACTCAAAATATCTGGGTATTTTCCTTTCACCAGTGCATGTAGTCTCTGTGAAAGAACTGGAGGCATCTTTATAGTATATATTTGCCATGATATTACAGTGTCATTCTACCTAGGGATTTGAGTAGAATGGGATCCAGATCTGAAAATCTTCTTAGGTCTGGGAAATAAGTAAATGAGGATGATTGTTCATTGGGGTGACCACTCTCTGCCCCTTGATCCTCCATTCCCGCCTTCTTCTGATTCTGGGTAGTAAGTAGCACCCCCCTGGATGACCATCTCTTTTGCCTCAGTCTTCTATTCAGCCACCTTGATCAAACATACTCTGATTCCAGGGGTACTTCCCTGGCTCCAGCTGGTTTTTGCTGGCTAATTCTCCAGCTCCTTTGGGATATAATCTCTTTCTTCCCTTACCAAACCCAACACATCCCTAGCTAGAGTATGCTGAAATTTAATCTTAGTTTTTGGCCTGGCAGCCAGAATAAGAGATGAGGCAGCTTTCTTAGGGGAGCACCTGTTTCCCTGCAGAGATGAGGACTCTGCAGTATCTTTCTGAATTGGAAAAATGCTACCTGCAACTCTGTAGGCCACCTCTGATAGCTCTGAGGGTTCAGGGGAGTCTGAAGAATCAACATCCTTGGGAACATACACCCAGATGTCCCCATCCCAGTTCTTAGGGTCTCATGTTTTCCCAACCAGGGCCCTGATCCCAAAAAAGATCTGACTTGGCTTAAACATTGCCAGGCTTTGCAGTCTTAACTATCTGTGTATGCTCTTCCACTGCAGGAAAGAAGCGCCTTCCTATAAACTATCAGCAAAGCCCTCTGGCTCCCACACTTAGCTTTCATGTGTATATTAACTGCTTTTAGTTTCTCATTATTTCCTCTCAGGGAAATACCTGTACACCTGTACAACTTAGCAGTAACCAGCGAACTCCACTGTCCTTGTAAGTTATGTTCTCCCTTCTAACTTTCAAATGTCTGAATCATTGCACAGCAAAGTCATTCTCCCCTAACAGAATGTTTTCCCAGGTAACCACACATTAAATCTTCAACAGTTGGGCTGCCACCATGTGCCAGGGAATATCCATATCCCACTTGTTACTTAGGATGGGCTCCTCCTTGTCAGCTGGGTCCTGAGTAACACAGTTCCAAAACCCTGTCTTTACTGCCTGTTTTCTCATATCACTCCTGGTGTTTCTCATGTCTTCTGAGCAGCAGACACTAAGACAGGATTGGATATGTAAGATATTTATTGAGGTAAATGCTTGTAAAGAATAAAAGAGGAGCTGGATAGGCAGAGAGTCTTTAGACTGAACTGCAACTCTGACGCCTGTGAAAGAAGAGAGGAAAGGAAGAGTCGCGTAGGAAGAGCTCCGGACCAGAGTGCAGTTTTAGGTAAGCCTTAGCCAGGCAAATGGGAAAAGCCTGAGCCGTAGCTGCTCCTCAGATAATTCCATGTCAGGCAGGAATGGACTGGTCCAGTGCCTCCATCATTCTCTGTCATTGTCTGAGAGCATCTCAGTAGAACCCCACAGTGGATCTAAAGGTCCAGCAGCTGGAGGCTGTCAGTCAGCCGTGCTCCCCACAGCAGGTCCTCTTAAAAGGAGATCTGAGTGATGCACCTCCATGGTCACCATGATGGGAGAACAACCCCACTTGCAGGATTGATGGAGACAGCTACCAAGAGGAGACTAAAGAGATCCAGCCTCTGGAAGCTCTTCAGAAAGGAAGGGGATGTTATCCAGGTAGCAGAAAGGTTAGGATGAGGGTCCCCAGAAACCAACTCCTAATGGAGCTTTCCCCACTCAATCATAAATTTCCTTTGTTAAGTTGGGAAGAAGTTAAAGAAGATCCTTTAGGGCTCAAACACTTTTTAAAGTAGGGACACCTCTAACCAGGGACTAACACCTACACTGGCAGGTGTGGTACCTATCGTGGCTTCCCAAGCACAAGTCATGCTGAGGGTGGCAGTCTCAGGATGTGTTCCAGAGATGTCAGCCCAGGTCCCCCCATGTGGAATGCCCATTTCCTTCCACCGTTCAAGTGACTCTCTCCAACCGTGGACAGGGGTGAATGAGGCAGTGTTGGTACTGAGGAAAGGTATTAAAGAGGGGGCAGAAGCCTGCATAATAATTCTCAGCTTACCTCCCGTGGATGTACCTGATGCCAATGTGAAAATTAAGTGATTCGTGATTTAAGACATTATTGTTTCAGTGCATGCCTAAGCATAAAAGTCACCTGCATGTGTGAATGCAATTCTCTGTCTAAACACCCAACTCATTGCCGAGAAGAGACTTGGGCCCTGGAGAGTTTGTTTGGGTACATGTTAACTGGCTGACCGACTGACTGAATTCTCCTGTTCAAAAACTTGGAGGAAATGAGTCCAAATACTGACAGCAGGAAATTGTAGTGGCCTGTGTTCTGTTTCTTGGCTACTGGAGACTCTTAAAGATTACCCTTATGTCTCGGCCCACATCTGACCACTACTTTCAGGTTCTAAGTGCACGGGATTTCAAGTTTAGAGAGACCATACAAGCCATGCCACCCAACTACCGTGAAATGTCGATGACACTATTGTACAGATGTACAGACCTGCTGATGCTGTCTGTGTCAACCCTGATTGCACATTTGCTGTTCTTTCAGCTGATCTGGATAGAGTTAGAAGTAGCTATGGGCCCAGGCTCTGGCTCTTACAACTATTTGTTGTCTAAGGTTTTCTGTGTCCAAATGTCTGGGCCCTGTGACTTGAGAGCTTACACACTGTGCATAAGTGTCATTATCATAATAAATTTGAAATTAAATCCCATGTTAACTTCCCCCAGCCATCCCACACGCTTTCATCTCACCATGCAATCGGCTGATGTGTAGCTTAGGAAATACAGCCATACACTACTCAAAACAAGACGCAGTTAGGAAGCACCTCTCCTATCAATAAACTGTGCAATTAATTTCAAAGTAAAAAATAATTGGATTATCTGTGCCATGGCTTTCCTCATTAGTGCAGATAATTGGGAGATTTTAGTAGTGTATTTCCATCCTTCATGTAGAAAGTGCCTGTAATGTAATGATGGGGATCTCTTTCCTTTAGGTTTATGCTGGTTGGGAGTTCATAGGAGCTTATGTCTGATATCTTTAGTTGGTAGATGAAGGCTGAAGTACTAGAAAAAAGTAACTGTGATTGGCTGGATCATGAAAAAAAAAAATCCCCGAAGCCCTAACTGTCACCACATACCGCCACTCCAAATGAATGACAGCTGCTATACATGGCCACACTGGGGTGGAAGCCACAGACATGCTTCCTAGAAGCAGTCGATGGTTGGGACTGGCCTGGCCAAGTGGGATCTGGCAATGGAGTAACCATAAATCCAGGCAGGAAGGCTCCTAAGAATAGCAGCGAGAGAGGGGGGGACCAAAGACAAGAAGAGCTACTGCTCTGTCCTCCAGGTTGCTGTCTGCTGGCTGGGCTTGGCTCAGGACAAGGTTTCTCAAAGTGTGGTCTTGTGACCACACCTACATGAAAATCACCCAAGGAGCCTATAAGAATGCAGATTCCTGGGTCCCTACCACAGCCTATTTGATCAGAATCTTTGGGAGTGAGGCCCAGGAGTATGTATTTTAACGTTTCCTGGGTCTTCCTTATGGGACTGAAAATTTCAGACTCACTCGTCTGGGCACATTGTGGCAGGGACATTACACGTGTCTGGGTGTAAATCAGTATCTGGTTGTGGTGGAGGTGGGGGATGGGGAGTGTCTTCCCAACTCCTCCCACCCTGTCATCCCCGTCATCAATATTCACAAGGATCAAATCCAAAATGGATTTAATGAGCATGTTCTTTTTGAGAAATGCCGTTTGGAAATCCCAAACCAGCAATGGGCAATCTCTTAAGGCAGAAAGGCTGAAAATAAGCAACAATTTATTTTCTCAGAACTGGTAAGGGTGGAGCGGCTGTCTTTTCTAGTTGGATGTACTGAATTAGAACCATGCGAAACACACACAGTTCCCCCGGGGCCCTGTGCATGATTTATTTCCAGATTTAATGAATGTCCACGTGCCTGGGTTAGTGGAAAATAACCCGCAGATGGCCTCACCCCTGAAGTGCAGTGGAAAAGCCTCGCTAGTGCCACGGAAGGACGCTGACCCATCTCTCCCTCCTGATCCCCCAGTAAAGCAGGTGACACGGCGGGTAGACAAGGCACGTGGGCTGCCTGATTTGCCTCTGAGAACACAGATTCTCAACATCCTCTAAAATTTCTATTGATCTGAGCATGTAGCTGATGTCAACCCTGGTTGTCTGAAGGGAGGCTACTCAATATCACAAGGTCACGATGAGGAAAAACGAAAACTAATAACTCACTATCCTTGTACACAAAGGACTGCACATTGTTTTCTTCCTTCTTAATAGTATCTTCCTGTGACTGCTGAGTGACTCTCTTCCTGTCACCGCCCTTGCTGTGGGATTTAGGTCTTACGCTGACTTTTTTTTTTACCCATTTCTCCCCTGGCTTAACTTTTCAGATTCATGTCACAGTGAACACCTGCTTTATATGCTCTGTGTCTGCCACGGCTCATCACAGAAGCTGATTTAACTCCTCAAGAGAAAGCCATTCTTTCACCA